CAGTGGCTGTGTAAAATTACTGCTGACAAAATAGCATCGGGTGAAGGTGTGTGTTGCCAGCCATCAATGCAACAGGGTGGTTGGGGTCTGCTGTTCTGGGTTTTGTATGTGATTGTTTGCTAGGCAGATTAGGTCATTGACAACCTAGAACTTGATATTTCACTGGCAGTGATGGAGCAGAGTCTTCTCTAAGGCAGACAATTCAATGAAAAGCAATAAGTGAGGAGGAATATATCACTTCTTTAACACAAAGATCAAGTCTACTACTGCTCTGGAGCTTTCCACTCTTTTTAAAGGTTACAGGAAACTCCAGTTCCTTCAGGGCTCTACCCAGATGCAGGACTAATGTGGGAGCTCATGCTATAGCAGGAAGGATACAGGTTGTGCCCACCATAGATGAGGTACACATGTGCTGAGGCATTTTGGAACATTTTTGAAAGTGTAGAAAATTATTGCACACAGTAGTACAGGCTCTGTCTCCTGTCTTATTTGATATACATTGGCAGACCAGGAAAATTCCTGGGGATCATCCACACTAGTGAGCATACAGAAAAAGAGGTTTCCTCCCTGGGATTTCAGCTAGGGCACGATACTGTGTGCAGAAAGAACCGGACACTATGTGCATTGTCAGAGAATTTGGCCTCAGGGGAGCTAACAGGGGTGCTGTGACAGGATACTGCAGACACAATGACTTATATTTCTAATCAGGATTAATAATTGCTCAGGCCATCAAACATAAATAGGTGGTGTTTAGACAAATGAATTTTATATCAAGCTTTTGGTCATATGTATTCACGCGCTGCCACATCAATTGAAAGCGGAATGAGAGCCATCAAAGCAGCAATAGGTTATGGGCAATCTGACCTGATGGGTCCTGGGAAAAGTGTAAGTTTCAGTGCTGAGTACACAGATCAGCTATGCTAAGCCTGCATGGGAAAAGGACAGCCAGAATATATTGCTCATCAGTATGGCATGAGACTAGTCAGTCTGAAGTTTATGCATGCACACAGTGGGCACATGCATACTCTTCTGCATTTGGGGGTTGATTTGTTTACTGATATTCTTACAGCTGTGTTAGCAACACCGTGCCTCAAAGTGTCTGAATCTGTTACTGTCACTGAAACAATGATAACCAGGTACAGAACTCTGTTTATCTGGAAGAGATGGATGCAATAAGGACAGAAATCACGGATCTACAATCTATTGAATAAGGCAAAGGAGAATTCACTGGTTCTGACAGCTCTCCTCCCTGGCAAACTGACTACTCAGTCCAGAGGTCTGATGCTTATTTTCCTTTTTCTGCTTCTGAGTCATACAGATTCTTTCCAACTGTTATTAGGTGGGAAGCACACTGCCTGGGCTGACATGTCACTTGTATAGGTGACACCTCTTCATGTTGTTCATACTCATATTGGCTTTGGAAGAACATTTGGCAAAAACCATCAATTATGGGCTTTAATAGAGAGAATTTGGTGTGAAATGCTGTTATGAGATAAGCTAAAATGTAGACAGTAAATGAAAGAAATCTCCATTGCAGCAGCATAACTCACAAGTACAAAGTTACCTATGCCTGTGAAGTCATTGGCATAACAGTACTACAAAAACTAAATGTAAAAGTTTGGCTCACACATATATATCTCATCTCCAACTTTTGGAATTCCATGGAATTAAACTCTAAAACATTTCAGTACTTCTGTTAAGGAACAAAACTTAGAATTTTAGTTAGTCATGGTTCTAAACCAATTACAGATTATGCTGATGAGATTGTTCAAATTCCTGATTTTTAGAGTAAAAAAAACTATGAGCAGCATGAAAAGTGGATTTTACCCTCTATTTGCTATCTCATTCAGTAAAAAACTTGCCCGAGTTCAGACAAGCTGCCAAGATTGCAAAGGCTAAGCATTCACAAATGTGGGCACACACCTGTGCCTCTTCAGTCCACACAGGGCATTGGCATCCCATTTGGAGGCAAAATGAGAGGAAATAATTTCTGACTCACTGAGACAGGTGGAGGAACAAAGCAGTGGTTTTGGCTTAATCATGGAATTGACTAGAGGAAAATTTTTATTGCCAAAGGATACACTCTATTTGTGATCATCTCCACTGTTCTTGGCTAAAAAAATGAATATTTCTCCTTGCTGTTCCGTTGACTTATCAGTACATGTGTGAAGCCTACTTCTGGTGTTGGCTTACTTAAGAGAGCTATCTTTCTAGGCCTGATCCAAATGCTGCTGTGCAGTCAACCACATAGAAAAAGTGTTAATAACCACACCAAAATACATAGCATTTGTTACAGACTTGAGTTATGACTCAGACTAATGACTAAGAAAAGTATCCCTACATTTCCCTTTGCTCTTTAATTATTAATTTGTATAAGAAACTTTAAAAATACCCCTGTTTCAACTTTTTGAATAAGAAACCTTGTGTTTCCTTCAAGGTGGATGTTTTTACAAAAGTAAAGTATTTAAAATACTAACAAATTTAGATACAAAATTTATGAAGAAAGATCAGCATGGAAATAAGATATGATGAAATTACTGAAATGAAACGCTCCATCTGCGCTCAGCTCACACATTTTTTGGATTTTCAGTTGTAGAAATTCTTGAGATTTTTGACTTTCATCCTTACCCAAGAAGAAAAAATACAAGCAGCTCAAAACTATCTGCAGTAGGAGAAGGGAGTTTCCTATCCTGTTTCAGTCCCACATAGTTGCTCTCTGTTGTGAAGTTATTTGCAATGGGTAACTTATTCCTATAATTTATAAAGTCCTTCTAATAGAAGAGATGAGATGAGGCAATGGAAGTTGGTAAGGACTTCCTGAGTATGAAGACCAAAGCAGCTCATACTTGTGTTACCCCCCTTCCCTTCTGTTCTATTCCTTCCCTAAACTGGCATTATTCCTTGTACTTTTACTGGGCAGAGACCAGCTAAGCACTTAGTAATACATAAGTCTCTGCCACACTCAGAGACCTTAATGAAGGTTAAACTTCCTGAAGACTAGGTTTCAAAACATAAGTGTATTTTTGAATGCAATTAAAAATCTTAATAGGTTTCCCAAAGACAATCCAGAATAAAGAACATTCCTCCTTGGCAACTTGCAAATAATGGAGAAAATTCTAACCACAATGTCTCTGAAGCTATCCCTAGAGTCCAACTGGAATTTTTATTGCTGCACTGCCTTTTTAGTCATGCCACTTTTAAACACTGTTAGTTTTAGAAGTGAAGGATAAATCTATGAGCAAGAGTTTCTGATGCCTTTAGAAGCAACTTATTCAGCCTGTGTTGTTTATGAACTTCAGGTCATTCCATTTCTTTCAAACCTCTGCATTGCTAAGGTTTCCAGGAAGTTGTCAGTACTATGGCACATATTAACAAATAATGTTATAAACAGCACTAAGGATGGCTTTCATTCCATGCTGGTGGACCTTATCCATGTTCATGTGTGTAGTGGATTGACCTTGACTGGACACCAGTTGCCTACCAAGTCACTCTATCACTCCCCTCCTCAACAGGACGGGGGGGGGAGAAAAAAAGATGGAAAAAACCTCATGGATCAAGAAAAAGGCAATTTATTAAAGCAAAAGTAAAAGTTCCCATGCACAAGAAAAGAGGAAAACCAAAATATTTTATTGTCTACTTTCCACCAGCAAGCAATAGCCAGTCACTTCTGAGGAAGTAGTGGTTCATATCATACATAATGAATGGCCATGCTTCCTTCTTTCTTTTATATCCAAGCAGATTTAATTTAGTATGGAATGTCCCTTTGGTCAGTTTGAGTCAGATGTCCTGGTTATCCACTCCCAGCCTACTGAGAGTGGATCTTGCCCAAACCTTGCCTACTAGTGTGGGTGCAGAATGCTGGAGAGAGTGTTGATGCTGTTCCAGTTGTGGGCATCCTTGCAACCAGCTCAGTACCTTATGATTTCTTTGCCATATAATTGCTAAGATCAGTTATAACCCCTTATATGTATATAGCAGCATTCAACTGCTACACCTTAACTTTGGACTTTTCTGCATTATTGAATATACAAAACTGTGATTAAGCATTTGTAAGACTTTCCAGACTGAGAAAGGTGATGTCTCTTCAAAGTCTATGTGCTTATGAGCTGAAAGTTATTTAAAATGTAGCTATTTCTTCTCAAGAACAGATATAGAAATATGGGGAAAACTTCTTTAGTTGGTTAGCACCATTAAATCTGCAGGCACTCTCATTTCTGGCTAGGAATAGGAGTAACAACAACAACCCTCTCTTTCCTGGTCCTCATAAATCTGAATCCTATGTCCTGCAAGTGAACAGGTTATAAATAAAAGGGGCATAAATTTATTAGTTCTCTACACAGAATGTTTTGCTCCCATATGAGAATCAGTAATAGCCATCAAAGAGCAAATAACATGATTTCACCCTTATGCTAAGCAGTGCCCTTTCAGGTTATCAGATGCTAAACATGGTAGTTAAGATTTATCAAAGGAAGTCAAAGGGGAAAAAAGCAGTGAATTCTGCTTTAGGACCTGCTGATCTGTAAGAACATTTTAAATTATACCTAGAAGAGATTAGTTCCATGTGCAAGCTCACATGTATGTAATTCCTAGCAGTTTACATGGACAAGCACTCCCCAGTCGATACCAAGAGTCAAAGTACTTGTAAGAAAGTGTTAGATGATTAAACTCCAAAATTACATATGCTTACTACTATCCCCTGAGTTCAGATAGTAAAATACTAAAAGGCAAAACCAATCAACTCCTTCTCTGACCAAGACTCTCACTTTGGTGTGGTTTTGGAGGATTTTTACCTGTGTGTATTCACATTTTAAACGCCATATCTTCATGTGTATGTGTATATTTTCATATGTGGCATATATGCACATACTGATGAGTGTGTATAAAACATGTATCTGCTACATATATTTGAAGTATCTATTTTGCATACAGTTTGTGGTTGGCCTTTTTTGCTTCTTTTTAAACCCCTTACAAGTTTTGACATTCTCAATTTTTGCTTTCAGGAGTCCAAGGATGAGTACTGAAAGACGCATGCAGAGTACAAAATTCATTTCTGGGAAGAAATAAAAGAAGAAAAACAACACTACAAAAGCAAACTGCTTCCATGACTTGTCCCTCTATCTCCCACCAAGAGCTCCTGGCAAACACAACACACACATTTGTTGTAGGGCTATGTCAGGCATATCACAGTCTTCAGATCAGGACCTGTGCATACACATAGCCATGCACAGAGTCAGAGTGTCAGTCGATACTGTGATTACAGTTATGACAAGAGCTGACTTGGATGCACGGCATGTCAGAACTTTGATGGGCCAGGCTGTGGCTTGGAGAGCTGGGTTTTGGTATGCAGAGTGTGTTTTTGCAGGGCTTTCAGAATGAAGAGGTGACTTTGCTTTGTGACTGGCTCAGGGCAACAGGGAAGAGCTACTCCCTCCCTTTCCCTGTTTGCAGATACTGAAGTAAGTTATTCCACATACCCTGTCATAGAAAAGACTGCACATGAGGACAGTCTGAAGAAGCAAGATAGAAACTATGGCATTCACTTTGGTATTTTTAAGTATGGGTATATGACTTGCATGTAATTTGTTTCCTCAATGAGATTTCTATTAGACATTCAGGTCTCATTTATTTTTGTTCTGAAAGCATTAATTTAAACCTTTTAAATTTTCATTAATTTCCTTTGACCTTAAAAGGAAAGGTTTTGGTTTTGTTGTATTCTTTCTTTGAGGCTTACTAACTAACAAATTATCCCCAGGCTGATTTCATATGGAACACCTCCCATCTTTCTCACCAAGCATTAATATGTGTAAGGCTTTTTTTTGTATCCTGACCTCTATGAAGGAAACCCATGGCCAGTTTGCAGGAGCAGTCACCATGTTGCTTAGTGAATTGTTGCTTAAGGGGATAAATTTGGTGTCCTGGAAGTAGGGTTAAGTATGGTTTGGCAAATATATTTAGACTTTGATGCTATGAGTTATCTTTTCCAAAAAAGAGTTTCTGGGTGGTATTTTGAAGCTGTGTAGCCTGCTGCTGTTTTCCTGGATATGATAACACTGCAACATGCCTGTTGTGTTAGAGGACATGCTGTATGAATACTGCACATTTAATGGTCTCTTCTGACCTTTTTTCCCCAGAAGTGGAAATGACAACAAATGAGCTCACGCTTCAAGGACTTGTGTACCTCAAGGTACCTTGGAGCACAGCCAGAGTCTAGAGAGGAGCAAATCCTCCCACAGTGGGAGCTGCCAGAGGGGAATATCTCACCCTCAGCCGCCCTCACAGATGACCCTTGGCCTTCCAGCTGGTTGGCTGGTGACAATCTGAAAATGCCACTTCCACTCTTTTGGCTCAGGGCATAGGTGTGAAACTCTTGCTCGCTAGGAGAACTTTCCTGCATTTCTGGCAGGTGCCATGGCGGGGACACTGGCTCCCTCAGCCCAGTGCCCCCAACACATCACTCACAGCCCTGTGGCTGATCACTGCCAGCCAAAGATTTTGGTCCAGGTTGGCACATCATGGGCTGGAAGGGAGTGAAGGGGGAATGCAGGGAGTCCCAGGGCTGTCCCTATCCCCACAGCAGCAAAGCAGGGCCTTCCCCAGAGCCCTGGCTGCTTCTGGGCCTCCAGAACATCTGGCCTCCCTGCCAACACCCCTTGCAGGCATGACATGGGTCCTCATGTGGTCAGCGAGGAGCAGGGTCTGGGAGGCCAAAATGCAAATGGTTCCCATTGACTGATTCCATGCTGACGTGCTGAAATGATGGAGATGACGTGCTGATGGTGGAGATGAGTCCTTCTTGGCAGTGCCTCACTGAGGCTCACTGTGCTTGCCCTTGTAGCTTCACAAAACCCTTCTCCTCACCTTTCCAATTGTGCTTCCACTTGCAGTACAAAAATCTCACCCACCTAGTCCTCAGGTACTGGAACAACTTTAAGTTCTACCATATTCAATTTAGTGTTCTGTCTCCCAGACAGAGATGAGACAACATTACTCTCCAGAGTAGGTCTTCACAAATTTTGGTCTATCTAATGTCTGCCAAAAAATGATTACACATGGTCCTTTGCTGGGGTGAGGCAGCAACATCTCACATAGAGGAGGCTGAGGTTGCAGTAAGGTATGCTGGCTTGATACAGGGACTCAAACTTCAGCAGTTAAGAATAGCAGGTTTTTTTCTTCAGAAATGTACATTCAAAGGAAACTGCTTTGCACAGCAGCTGCAGCCATGAGTCTCAAAGGCAAAGAGAGGGGAGATAAGGTATTATACAAGAAATCTGAGGATTTCTTGTATAATAATAATAATAATGGCATTTCCAAATGTTAAAAAAAAATAAAAAAAGAAAGAAATAAAAAAATCTGTCTTTTTCAACCCAAATCTTCAGGTTTAACTTTAAAAGCACTCCATCAGAGAAATTCAGCATTTTACTGCAAGACAAGATTTTGCGCAGAAATCTATGATGAAAAAAAAACACTTTATAAATGTGAATGTTAAGAAATCTCTAGCCTCTAGTCAGTTCAAATATTCAGAGTAGTTAGTTCAGGGATGAAATAATGCAGGGCATTTTTATTATTTTAGCCTATGAATTGTGAGATGCATCTTCACATAGTAGTGTATTCATGATCTGTATTTTCAAAGCCTAGATGCTCTCTCTTTCTGGACAAACTCTGAGCCAACATCTTGAACAATATTGTCTTGTGAGTTTAATTTTCATATTGTATTCTTAAATGCACATACATCTTTGGATGGAGGAGTAGGGAAAACAATAAATTTAAATGCAAAATTTATTACAGTTCTAGCATAAAATACCTACTCATGCCAGAAACTTATATATTCAAGTAACTCTGGGGAAGTAATTTTCTCTATTTCTGCTGCTAGTGCTCATGAGAAGATCTACAAAGTTGATGTCTTACTATGCCAAAAGACTGCTGGCAGACATTTTTTTTGTACATGAAACAGGCTGTCTGTAATTAAACACTTGTAGATGGCTGAACTCAGTGTGTTATGAATGCTCTGGGACATATAAAGATTCTCTACAGCAAGAATTGATTCCATCATTTGGGTCAACAAAGCAAATGAGTTCTAAGCACAATTAATGAAGTCTGCAAGACAACATAGTTATACTTCTCTCACATTTAAATGCTCTTATGAGAACGTTGCACTTACACAATGTCTTTTAAAAGGTGGGGAAATGAGCAAGAAAGGAAAGGTTGACCAGCTGCTGACTTTTTGATTGTGATTTTGTCTTGTGAACCATAGATGCTTTGCAGTAACAGATGAAAGTCACAGGGAATTTTTACACTGTTTGGCCGAGAAGAGTCAAGATTTTGTGGGTTCTGTGCCATGATAATTGAGCTAGGTTGCTTTGGGATCTTCACATTGTGAGGATATCAGTGCTGGTCCAGGATATAGATCCTGATCAGTTCTTTGCATATTTAGCACAGGTGCAAGTCTCCTGTCCTGTTTCTAGTTTCTGAGCAGCTTTCCATTAGCTCAGAATCTAATGAGAAATATCTCTGTATATGTGAAATATCTCTGTGTTACTGTATAGGTGTAAATACACATATAATGCCCTTGCCACTCCCTACAAAGGGGGAATGACTCCAGTTCCTGTGTAAGCAAACTTAAAACAGTTTGAGAAACGTGGAATATTTGGGTTGGATTTAAAAAAATATATTTTGACATTTCTGAACTGATTTTTTTTCCTAAACATATTGGTCTCTGAAAATGCCAATTTGGGATGAAAATAGTTTGGAAAATATCAGCCTTTTTCCCTAGGAAGGAAATTTCATCTGTCAACTCACTGTATCATCCAAAACAAGTCAAGGGCAGAAATAAGCAGAAAACACATGTCCTAAATAGGTACCTTTCTGTCTATTGCTGAGCCCAAGGAGTTTTTCTCAAATGGGAACCATTTGGCATGGCTGCTTGCCTTTTTTTTAATGGCCTAATTTTGCAGCAGTAGCCATGACTATCATAACAATGAAAACAAAGGAAAACATGGAATTGAACTCAGACTTAGCAAATTCTGTCTGCCTGTTAGGGGAAAGTCCAAACAAAACCTTCACTCCCAAACACACGCTAAATTTTCAGGAGATTTGCCTAGGGATTCATAGGTTCTAGCTTAATTTCATCTCTGGTAACAGTAATTATATCAGATCTGTTTATGAAAAACAAACTGCAGGCTTCCATATTTTTCTAGCAGATTTATATTCTACATCACCTTGAAGTTATTCAGTTACAAAGGAAGAGGAAAAAAGTGTCTTTAAGCCAAATTCTTTGTCCTCATAATTTTGGCAGCAGCAGGGGCTTCTAAATTAGCTTTTGTAGTTAATCCCAACAGGTCATGCTGCTCCGGTTTCTGACTTCCTTTCACTTTGTGTGACCACTGACAGTTGTTCATTCAGGAGGAAACCTGCTTTATCCTGTCAACCTACTGGAAGCAGGCTCTTCTGAATGCTTCCCTCCTATTCCTAATGCCAAGGCCTACACAGTGCCCTGCATCAGTTTCACTGTCAGCAGCTCTCTGCAGCAGAGGACTTCTTCCTCAGACATATAGATACTTACAGTTCTTGTTTATTAATTCTCTAAATAGTCGCCAGAGGAATAAAAATGTATGACTCACCATCCTGCCCTATTTTTCCTTAAGGAAAGACTTTTTCTGCCTATCAATTAAAAAAAAATATTATGAAAGAATACACAAAACAGAGTAGGCATGATACAACCATTTATGGGTTTCTGAGAGTAAATATGTTAATATTAGCTTGCCTGCTTAATAAAGGCTCAGGCTTTGATCACTCCTTCCTTCCTTCCTTCCTTCCTTCCTTCCTTCCTTCCTTCCTTCCTTCCTTCCTTCCTCCCTTCCTCCCTTCCTTCCTTCCTCCCTTCCTCCCTTCCTCCCTTCCTCCCTTCCTCCCTTCCTCCATCCCCTCCCCTTCCTTCCCCTTTCCTTCCCCATTTGGGCCTCTTCTCCCACTTGAAATATAAGTATTTTTAATAAGTCTTTCTTGTTTATGGTAGGCTTAGCATTTGAATGGAGAAATACTTTAGGCAGAATATTATTGCTAACAATCATTATTTTCTTAAAAAAAA